TAAAGCAGCCGGTGTGCTCTTCGGAAGGATTAACAACATGAGCTGTACAGCAGCATGTCTGAAGTTTGTTCTCCTTGGCTTCTGCGTGGCCTATGGTGTAAGTAAAGTATCATTAATAAATACGTCAAAGCATTACTTTTTAAGGGTGTACTGAAACGTAAAAGCAAGGTATTTTTAATGTGGTTTCTTGATGAAAGGTACGGAGAAACTACGTGATTTTCTCTATGCAGAATTGGGATAAAATTAGATGTGTAACAAAATAGACGTTTGGCATATGTTCTTAGTCAGACAAATGATTGTCGTCTGCAATTTTTCATATGATATTTTAGTGGAACAGCTCGAAGCACTCAGTTAGTCCATACAGTTCACAAAGCAAACGCTCGACTTTATTGTTCAAGTGTCTAATTAAGGGTCGCCAATGAAGTGGGGGAAATAAAAATATTTCATTGGTCTACACTACGCAAATTTCTTTTTCCCGGAGTGTTCTGGTATTTCACTAAACGCCGTTTGTATTTGGTTTCCAAATTAATGTCCTGACATACTGTGCGCCTTTAAAATCTTTATGTCGTGCAATACCCATTTTCGAAGTGTCACCTGCTTATTTAAGCACGCATAAAATGGCCCACAACATTGTAACTAAACATTAGATGGATGAATTCATCTTCACTTACTCCTCGCTGTTTCACTGTGGACTTATTCAAAACTAAATTATTTTTCGATAATTAACATAAAAGGTTAAAACAAAGAGAGCGTTGGCATTTTCCTTGTATGACAAAATTTGATCCTAGTTGAAAATGGTCGGTGAATCTACGGACTTAAACAGGTTTCAAGCGCGTTATAAGAAGCATTGATTTGTATATGACCTAGCGTTATTAACAGACAGAATCGGGAAAATCTAGGCACGTTAGTTTAGGATAACTGATAGGTTTGACTTTTAAAAAATTCGATTAGTACACAAAATGCTATAATTAATCTTTCCATTGTAAATATCATAATGTGTCTTTTAAGTTAGTTTTATTCATTCATGGCAGGAAAGTAACCGCAAAACTTTTTTGTTTTTGATAAAAATGCGATTAACAGAGGAGTCCTGGATTAAGATGGTGGGGTATGTATTTATGAGCAACGTCCAGAGCAACGGGACTGTGGGTGACATATGTTTGGGCTGAAATAAAAGACATATCGATGCATGAAATTTCATGCAGCCTTGTTACTTCTGTTACTTTTAGCTTCTCGGAATTTGCTTTTCTGGAGTCGGCATTTACCTCATTGTGGAATTACAAAAGATACCCGGTCTTGCTGATGCGGCAAAGTGGGCCCCTGCATTCTTCTTGGCTCTCGGAATTTTCCTCGGCCTCGTTGCTGTTCTGGGCTGTGGCGGCGCAGTAACGGGAAATAAGTGCCTGCTTATCATTGTCAGTGCTTTCTTTTCCACGCTCACCATCTCCTGTTTAGTTTGCAACGGTGACCATCGTCATGCTGGTGGCAGCCTTCATCTACGGTATCGCCGTTTTGGTTGTCAGTGCGCAGGTAGGTCGAAGGATGATTTTTTGGTACCCTGCTCTACCAGATCTCCACGGTCATGTTGGATCTGCTGTTGGAAGTTTTTAACAACGACCAGGATGCGGCAAAAGTGTGGTTGGGTATTATTGAAGCCGCGGTAGGATTTTCAAATTCATCTTAACCGTTGTCATTAGTTTAAATGCTGCGGAATAAACGACTCAGGCGATTACTACAGTATTCCGGAAACATGTTGCGAACCAGGAACAAGAAGATGTTCGTCCACGACTGCGTACAAGGAGGTAACAAACAAGTAGCAACGCTTGTCGTTTTATTTATATAATTCTCGGACAATTCCCGTATCCAGGGGTTTGGGCCGTCAACATTTAGTGCGCTCGAATTCCTTGAAGAAGCTGATTGTTTTATGGAATGTTGGGGTTTGGTATCTTTTGCGCAGTAGTGCATGGATCTTTTTACATAAAGAAGAACACCAAATTTCATCTTACTAATAATAATAGTGTATTTTAGGGTAATAGGCAATGCCCTTGATGATCCTATTGAACACGGTAAATATAATATAAATGCTAAATGCACATCTTACATTAACATATTTGTTCGCGGAAAACGTTTTTACAGTGAGGGACTGCGAAGGGTGCGACAGACGGTCTTTTCAGTGTACATATGAAATTTTAAGTGCAGTTATATACAATCAGCATAAAGTGCAGTCATTTGCATAGTTTAAGAGGGGAAATTTCATTAAAAGTCAGGGATGTGTTACATAGGGATGAAATCAAGAAATGATACTTGTGGATGGCCGCAGATAGTCCTGTAGTGAGAGTCGTCGTTTATCAAAGAGCAAACGATCCAGCTGTCAAGTGAATTGAAGAGATCGATTATTCTGTCCTTACGACTTGGTCAATATGTAATAAAAATACTGTGATATGCAAGTATTGGCACCTGCACATGGATTTTAATCACAGCGGTCGAATTCGTACAGTACGTTTTGCCTGAAAGTTGTTTTCACGGTCTCATATATATGCACCAATATCTAGGCTTATTTTAATGGTTTTCTATGGAATGGTGAAGCTTCTTAACCACTTAATAATAAAACATGCACCACGCGTTTTATTTTTAAGGGTTGTGGCGTTAAGATGGTGGATTCGATGCTGAAGTACTCAAAAGCAATCGGAGGATGCTGTATTGCCCTTACAATCGTCCAAGCCCTTGCTGTTATTGGAGCTTACATGCTGATGTCAAAGTCGACTTCGAATGCTTATGCTTAAAACTGTTTTAAAACAGCATGCGTTATGCTTTTTACTTCCATGGTTTAGAAAATATAGAATAAATTTGCCAAAGTTTCTGAAGAACTAATAAAGTTTCAAAAGAACTCGATGAATAAATTTTTATAAATACGAGTCATTTTTCTGATCCATGGGAAGAATTGATCAAAAATGTCCGGTAAAAGAGTCCAATTTGATTTTCTTTATCCCCTGTCCCATTATATAAACGGATAAAATTTATGAACTATTTATATTGCTTTAACCAAAATCAAACACCACTTCAGTTCATTAATAATCATCTTAATAAGAAGGAAACTATTCTTTCGAAAGTACGCGCCAATATAAGCATAGTTTTTTGATTTTAACTGAAAAACCGGAAGGAAAGTTAGTCGGATATTCCTAACAAACTAGACAACCTATTAAGCCAGACTGGTTAACAGATAACCAGTGCGGGGAAGAAACGCCCCACCCCGAACTGTTCCGGTGATCTTTGGCGAACTTACACCAACCGCATTATCTTCCTCGGATGCGTACAATTAGGCAACAATGTGGCAGTAAATGTTATATTTTACTTCATCACACCTCAGCCAATATTCCCACCTTCAGAACCTAACGACAGCTTTTACAATTTGAAAGATCATTGATGAAATCCCAAAACATTGCTGGGACTGTGTACGATTTTTCCTATATATGAACTGGAATTTATGTGATCCTGCAAAAAATAGCCAATAAAGTTTTGCAGTTCGGCCTTAAAAATCAGTGCCAGACACCTTGATGTAAGCAATGCGCTTTACAGAAAACTTGAGAAAACGGCATAACCTTGACGGTCACACAAACTGAAACTTAGAAACTACAGGTCGTGCAACGCATCGGAATTTTTACTAAATAACCATACACGAAATATTTGTTCGGAAAGCGTTCCACCACTAGTATATGCCGGCATATGGAAATATTTCAAAGTAACTTTGGTGATCTAAGGCACATATATCAGGCATAAAACAAATGATGCCTGAAAGTGCAGAGTTTGTTTTGGTTTGGCAATTCTATTTTGTTGTCCATTAACTTTTGATCCCATTCACTAAGTTTTTATTTCATAAAGTTAGTAAATATTTTTTACTTCCGCAACATAAATGAGTAAGTCAAATGTTAATGAAGGCATCGTTGAAATATTTAAACTCGGTCCTTTGAGGTTGTACTGCCTTTAAAGCTGTTGAAATTCCTAAAGTTTCCCGTACCTACGTGCTGTTGCCGGAATCTGAGACGCATAACTAAGAAAATAAGCTACTGATAAAATGACATTGTTCGCCCATTGCATCTTCACATGAGTAATTATCACGAGTAAGGGTTAAAGACATTCTGGCGAACGGACGCTATTTTTTCCTCTGGATCTGATGGTCAAAATTCAGCCAAGATTTTCCAATGCAAATATTTTTGGTTTGCAACGAAATATACCTGATGAAAATTCGCCCTTACACGCCAATTTGCCAAAGCAGAAAAGAGACATAAAGTTTTCTCACGTCCTTTAATCAACGCAAAGATTTTACAGACTTATTGAAGATCTCACTTAAAGGAAAGGGCAATATAAAAGTCGTGAGTGTGTCTCTGATAAGGCAGTTGTTTCCATGATTACTCAGTACTATTTAACAGTGATTATTTTAATATTCACACACGTTGTTTCATTAAATATAAACGGTTTTTACATGTCACAGATGTCAGAATGATTACATATATCTGCAACTTACTGCAAAATACTCACCTTCAAACACCAGAAATAACCTGTGGTGCATTGATTTTCAAATAATTTTGTTAAAATGGTACGGTCTGGTGGATCTCTGCTTATTTAAGTGGTGATTACAATCATTAGCACTGATTAACTGCAGTATTCCGCCTTGTTTTCGCTTTTAATTATCAGAATACCAACACCCCGTTCGTGGTAGTAATCTCTCGGCCATAATATCTATCTCAGATATACTACTAGAATATCTGCACTTAGTCCGATGGCATTATTTCAGAAGACAATTTAACGAAACCCGAAATATTTCGCCTGTAGGCTTAATTAAAACCGGCTCGTCTGGCAGCTGCAGTATTAACCACGCCTCCTGGCCTGCTGCCATTTCCGTCCAACTATTCGTTTTCATGCAGGGATTAGAGAATGATTGTCTGCCAAATGAGAGCGTCTCTCTTGACCGCAACCAAGGTTATTTCGGTCGAAGTATCAACCTCATGTTCAACGTAGAAAAAAATTACCTTTGACATAAGAGCTATTGCAATCGTATAATTGTCAAAAGGCGACTCAAATAACTTCATTTGCGATTTTTTAAATTTTTGGTGGAACGCAGCAACAACATTTGCATAAAACTAAAATGGGACAACGAGTTCGTTGTTCAAAAGCCGACCAACGACGAATGCGTGTAACTGCTTCGGTAACTTATCAAGTGCCACTAAAAGCGGTGTTTAAGGAAAAGGTAAGTTATAACAGTAGACGTTTTCACTGCCGCTTACTTTCCGTTGACATCTCTGTGATCGCTGATTACTGCTACGTGATCAAAAGCAAATGACTTGGCGGAAGACATATAGCTCAGACAGGCTTTATCCGTTATACAAACTGGCCAAATTACCAGTCACAGTACCCATCTTGTATTCTATCCTGATTAATATGACCCTCTTGAAAGATGGTTGTTTTCGCTGACCATGCGATGACCAGTGCCTTAGTGGACAGCTGAGCTTAAACTTAAATATCGAACTCGGTAAGGATCAACTCAGTCACGACCCTACCTAACCCTCACTGCCACTTCCTTCCGCCTCCCCCTATTCAAACACCCTGCGTGTATTAAAACACGAATCGTAAACGATTTTTCTTATCACTCACGCATTTTACTTTGTACCTCGTTCTTACATACAGTGCGTGACCTATCTCATGAAATGTTGGCTGAAATTCTGAAATGCGTTTTCGATTAGCGAGGATTACTTGGTGACGGTGGTGATACTGATTACCTTAAGGCATACTCTTATAACATTTTGGACTCGGCAGGATGTCACTTTTTAAATGCACTTCTTTTCCATCTCCTGTAGAAAGCGTGCTCGGTACAAAATGACTACTTAAGTAGCATGCATTTTTCCCATTGATTTTCGATAGTCTTGGAAATTCAAATATATTTTATAGAAACAAAAATATGCTTTCTTTTAGTCAATCAATAGAGAATCACGTCTTCTTTATATTTTATACTCAAGAAAGGAGTATATATAGGTTTTTAAAAAGTTATTATTATAAGACTTTTTGAGACCACGATATGTCTATCCACATAGCATCGTACCTGGCCGTTTACCACTGCTCCTCATGAAATGTACATTATGGTCCGCATCCATTGCAAAATTTTATGGGCCCTGTATGATATCTATTTAATGACAGAAAAATATGGGATTTTCTTTACGCGGAACGCATGCACCTTGCAGAGTGTAATCACTAAGCGCTAATGCAACGAATGATCAGGCTCCAAATTTTTCGGCAATTAGAAAACTTTTTTAAAACCTAATTATACTCCTCCCTTAAGTATAAAATATAAAGAAGACGTGATTCCCTATTGATTGACTATAAGAAAGCATATTTTTATTTGTGGTTTCTATAAAATATATTTGAATTTCCAAGACCATCGAAAATCAACGGGAAAAATGCATGCTAATTAAGTAGTCATTGTTTACCGAGCACGCTTTCTACAGGAGATTGAAAACAAGTGCATTTAAAAGCAGACATCTTGACGAGTCCAGAATGCTATAAGAGTATGCCTTAAGATAATCAGTATTACAACCGCGATCAAGTAATCCTTCCTAATCGAAAACGCATTTCAGAATTTCAGCCAACATTTCATGAGATAGGTCACTCACTGTAAGTGCACTGACCCGACGATAATTTATCGAAAGCACGAGTTGGCTCGCTAAATGGTATTCGCAACTAAAAGTGCTTTGTCGGGGAAATATCTGCGGCCGATTTTACATCATTAACTTGCCGGCGTCTCTGTTCAACGTCTCGCTGCGTCAAAGTCATTCCTCTTCCCGATGAACTGTTCCAGATCTGCTGACTTCACTACAGTCTGACCTGCAGCAACACGTGCCCGCGCGCGCATTCAGGCAGTCACAGTGGTCCGTGCCCAACTTGATTAAGCTTCACTTCGATCAATGTAACACGGACCACCAGACACACCACCATTTCAGGTATCAGTTCAACCTTCGCGGATGATGATGTCCACCGTTTACCCCATTGCTTGGTGGATGTGGAACGGTGACTTGCGTAGCATATATCGCACTCTCCCCCCCTCGCCCGCCTGAGCCCGATGACAAGAATCAGTCAGGACGACTAGAGATCGGCTCAGGCGCAGTGAATGACAAAACAACATAGCTCTTATACGTATGCCCCACACGAACTGATCCGCGCACAATGGACGGGGTTTTCATAGAAAGAAGGAGTGCCCCGTCTCCTATCCAAGTAGGAATGTCATAGAGGTCCCACTGAGAAAGAGTCATCAAGTCTGACTCTCATCTCACCAGTCTGCCACTCTATGCACACACGACTGATCGCAAGATCTGAGTTATGCCGTCAGTTGACAACCCTCCAAGACACGACTTTTAACTCGTCGTGATGGATTCAAGCGCGTCGGATTGCTTAGAGTGAGGAATATACGCTGCGTACCGTAGAATCGCAGTCCCCCGAGTCTACCACCCTCCTTTTTTCTCGTCCAGGCATCATTCCACCGTCAGAATCAGTCCGGTATCTGATGCAGAAATTGGGCGCATTGACTGACAGACCTGTAGGAATCCGTCCGCATGTTCTACGCACGGCTTGTTTTGACACAGAGTTGCACCAGATAGCACGCCTCTAACCTACCTGAGAGGTGCTTATTATTGTGTTCGTGGTCGTTGATGTGGAACGAGATTCCATGCGGTGTGTGTGTGTGTTAAACACACTTACTGCGTGCACAGTGTGGGCTTCTGAGGTAAGTAGGCGGGGG